CCGGGTAAACGGGTTGACAACACAGAGGCTCGGTACGGCGCACCTCAGTCCACACAGTGACCTCTTTGTTCTCGGACACTTCAAGTCTTTGGAAGCAGATTTACCTAATGCGATGTCGTCTCCTGTGATTGTTTCACTCCTGCTTCCATGAGCATTGATTGTGGCTCCAAGTAAAATCTTTGATGTCACTCGTTTCTAATGTATCAAGGTGCTATTTATTGATCTAGTTGTGAGGATGTGTGTTCTCCTTTAATTGAGATGCAATTCATACTGAAGGCTGTACTCTTTGTTCTTCTGTATTTGAATTCCTCTTCCCTGCCAGCAAGCCAGATTCTATCCTCCTCATTCATTTCACAGGTTGTTAGCGAGTGGTTATATAATTCTGATTCTGTGTTCTTCATGTAATGATGGTGGTAGTGTGCCGTGAAGTCGGTTCCGACTCATAGCAACCCTGTATAGGATTTCCGAGGCTGTAAATCTTTATGGGAGCAGAAAGCCTCATCTTTCTCCCGCGGAACAGCAGTAGTTTCAAACTGCTGACCTTGAGGTTCGCAGCCCAACTCGTAACCACTCCGCTACCAGAGCTCCTTTCTTTATGTAATAGCTTCTCATAATGTTTGCTAAATATAAAAATTAAACCTGGAATACCCATTCATTGCCATTGTATCACTGGTTTGTCATGATCCACACAGTTCAATGCCTCTGTGTAGACAAAGTAAGCACAGGGAAACATCTTTCTGGTATTGTCTGCTTTCATCCAACATCCACCGGACGTCAGCAATGCTATTCCTAGTTCCAAGTCCTCTGTTAAATTTTGCTTAAATTTCTGGAAGTCTGTGTACTGTTGTACCTGTTGTTGAATTATTTTCAGCAGAATTTTACTTGTTAATGATATTGTTGGATGATTTCTGCATTCCGTTAGTTCACCTTTCTTGGGAATGTTCATAAATATAGATCTCTTCCAATCAGTTGGCCGGGTCGCTGTCTTCCAAATTTCTTTGCATGGACAAGTAAGCACATCCTTTCATGCATCAGTTTATTGAAACATTTTAATTTGTGTTCTGCTAATTTTTGGAGCTTTGTTTTCTCCAGGACGTTCAGCGTAGCACGAACTTTCTTCCTCTCTTCTTGATCACATGGTCCTTTGATCACACGGTGCATTCTGTGGTCGATTGATCGAACCATTGACCCATTCTTTTCGGTACAGTGACTTAGTGTATTCCTTACATCTTCTTGTCACGTGCTCTGCATCCTTTAATAGTCTCTGTGTGTTCAAGATTAACTTTCAGAAGCAAATACTGTAAAACGATGACGCACGGAGGAGATTGTGATCATTGCAATGAAACAATGGTGTAAAGCCGATGTTCTCCC